TCACATCGCAAGAAGGGGGTGTTGAAAATGATCAAGTTATCTTTGAGACACGCCCTTCCGGGTGATTTATATCGTTATGCAGTCAGTTGTAAGCGTGACCCTCTGGTACCAGAAACACAGAGATGCCCGCCACAAGCAGCGTGGATGTTCTATACACACGTGGTTTTTCAAATGCTTTTTTGTTGTTGCATAGCGCATCGGTACTTAGCATCCCGTGATTCTTTGTGACAGCAAATCCAATATGCCGTAAGAGGTGAACTTCGATCCATTTGCTTCTCGGGGGTACTCAGGCAAGCGCAGGTTATTAACTTATCCGAGCGAAGCCTATCAACGACCGCTAGTTGGGGTGCTGACAGCTATGCGGCTAGTTTTAAGGAGGTGCCATTTCATTTTGTGACAGCTAAGCACACCTTTAACGCAGAATCCGAAGCATAAGGACGCACGAGAGCAAACTTCACAGTGGGGCTTTGGCGAGGACTGTCAAATGAGTCATGGGCAGTTCACTAAATTTCACTTAGCCAACTGGCATTCATTGTTGCTGCAGATCGGGGTGTTTAGTCGTATAGGCTTGAGAACACACACCTATCTGTTGGCTTCTCGGAGCAAACAAGATCCGTGTGGATGACAAGAGCAGAATGAACACCAAGCGTGAACTATCCAAAGTGCTGCACGCAAACTGAGGCGACGTCTTTCGGGCTTAACCCTTAGTATAGTCACAACGGAGACCACAAACTACAGTCAGAGATACGAGCATACACCTATATACAGCTTATGAAATTTTGGCAAAAGTGATTTTTAGGGCCCCTCAAGATATTTATCCCTCGCCTCACCCAATTGCTTAACGTACTTTTTTTGTCAAACGTTTAATTCTTGGCTCGTGAGCGTAAATTAACGTGTAATTGTGGCGGAAGTGATCAAAAAATATTAAAGTAAATAAGATTATTTTTGTTTTAATATGCTAAAATACAATAAAATTGATCAAAAGAAACTTCTGTTGCGCAGGATACGAATACTAGTCGAGGGCAATTCGACCTTATGTAAGCGGAATTTAACGAAAACGGAAATTCGTCCTCCTATTGGTGGAATTTAACGAAAACATTTAAAGTCAGGCTACCGAACATTTAAAAGTGGTTTTTGATTATAAGTCGATGAGATTTTTGGGGCCTCTAAAATCAGTCTTGCAGACATTTTAAACGAAATTCCCGCGTGTGTTTTTGATTAGAACGTAATACCTAGGTTGGTTTATCATATTACTTGTCCTTCAGCAGTCATGTCAGGAGATCAACCTTTTAAAGAGTTTCCTTCTGGCCTCCTGTAAAAACGCAATTCTTTAAAAAAAAATGGCTACGCATTTAATCCAAATTGTTTGCCTTGACTCTCGATGCCCTTTTAAAGTCAGATACTTTTTTAAGCAAAAAATACCTAAGAATAGAAGAGAAAATCCGATTCCCACACAGTATGTCAGAAGGAGGAATGGTGTTCACCGGGAGAAGCTTAGGCAGGACTGTCTTTCGAGGTCTTTTTTGCCTTATACTTATTATAATAGCCTATTTTTTAATTTGCAATAACCCGACTTTCCATTTCCTTTGGTTAAATTCCGCCAATATAAGGTCCAATTTCCCTCAATTGGCATCAGTATCCTGCGCAATGGGTGTTTATGTTGATGGCTTTGATTCTATTTAGAACATTAAAACAAATATAAGTTTCCTTAATTTAACATTTTTGATCACTTCTAGCACGCTTAAGTATTCATTTACACGCACTAACCAAGAATTAAATGTTTGAACACGAAATACGTTAGACGGTTTGCCCGGGGGGAATACATGTTTAAGGCACCCCACAAGAGAGTTTTGCCAAAGTTTATTTGGAATCTGACGTTTCGGATAGTTGTCTTGTCTATCCATCTTCAGAGAGCGAATGCTCTGGCTCTCGCTATATGCCACTCGATTCTTGCTCGTACATAGGCTGCCAATCCACTTTGAGCCGCTTTGTGTGGCTCGCGTCTCTCGGTCGGCTCCCGCGTTGACACTGGCTGTAACTGGGGTGTTAGTGTTTATTCGGCCCCCCCGTACGTTGGTCATCTGTGCCATGTCGGCCCCATCTCGTCATGTGCTGTTTCCTGGGCACGCACGTTGACTGTAGAGCTAGTCGGCGTCCCCGATTGTTCCACGCTGTGAATGTCCCCTGATAAGATTCTTTTTAACACAACATAGTGGACAGGCAAAATTAGGTGGCGGTTTACCCAGTAGTCGGTCGACATCAAGGCTTGGTTAATTTGCCTTGATGTGTGTAATCGTCACCTCGGTCCACAATTTCAACGGTGTCAAAGTTAAAGATGTGTCCCAGCAAGGGTTGCTACCCCCGAAATTGGGTTAGGCCTCATTACGGCCAGCTGATGCTCATGCATTCGCCTTTGTAACTGTCGGTCGGTTTCTCCAGCGTAGTTGCACATCCCGCAACTTCACTGAAGTCGGTAGACAACGTCTAATTTTTCTTGTTTCAGAATAAGTTCTTTCGGCCGCATTCCTTGTTGCCGGATTGTGGCGGCAGGCCTGTGAGCCACTCCTATTCCGAGAGGCGCAAGAGATGTAGCCACGGTTTCGGAGACCCCTTTCATGTACGTGAAGCCTCCTTACCGCCAGCTGATGTTCATGCATTCGCGTTTGTAGTCATTCTATGAAGAAGGATAGACGAGGCAACTATCCGAAACGTCAGCTACCAAATAAGCCTCTCCGGATGAACGCCATTTCTCCCTCATGCCTGAGAATACTTTTTTTCTTTCAATCCTTTTGGTTTCGAATTACATGTTTGCCAACTCTTGAAGAAACAGCGTCATTCGCTTCCAAATAGACTCTTATAATTAGCCTTTTAAGACCGTAAAAATGGCCATAAATGAGGCATTGCATTTATCTATTAATTAATGCTACTTGTACACTATATCACATGTTATGTGAGCAATGTTAAATCTCGTGAGTAGTGAAGAATACTTATTCATTTTCCTCAGACCGAATGTATACAGCATTTAGTTTGGTAATTTTTAGCGCTATTGAAAGACTAGGTGGGGTTCAATATTACTTAGAAATCAAGGACTTTTTTGACTTTGTTCCTGACATTATTTGCTGTCAACTAGGTACGGAACATAATATCTCTGTGCATAAAATATTTGTAAAGGTGTCGAAAGTGAACTGGCCAAATGCTAGTACTTGATTACTTTTTATGCAGGATGTAGTTTTTGTAGATGGTTGTAGGACAATATCGTTTAAAAAACTAACCTCATGGCGTGACTGAGATATTTTTTGGCCAATTCGGCACGATGAGTAATAATACAGCCCTACAATAGAAAGCTTGATTCCAAAACCAATTTCACAATTTCATTGATCATTTCACGAGATAGAACATCCACGATATTCGGGGGATGAATAGACCAGTTGTATGAAGCTGTTAATTGATTTCAGCACCCGCGATAACTCAACAAGAATTCCAATCACTGACCAAAGTAGTGTCCTTTCACAACTGGCAGCGCTGTCGCACACTAAGTTCCCGTCTATCCACTGCTTCCTCCTCCACTTGATGATTCTCTCCCCCCCCCCGGCTCGCCCCTTATGATCCATCACCATCCCCCACCAAAAACAAATTCTTGCGTTTAATCGCTAGTCCCCAGCAGACTCTGTTCGTTTTCTAGCCGCTTTCGGGATTGGTTCCTGCCAGATGTCAGACGGTGCAGAAAGCAATTGTCTCCGACTGGACATGATTGGTGTGTTTGAACTGGTATGGCGGCGGTCATGTCATCAGCGATCAGCGATCCACCCAAGGCGCGTACTTCGTAGCTCGTTCACCGCTTGGTCAATGTCTCTCATCTGATCCCATTGGCTGGACCGA